AAATCTTGTTTGAATTCAAAATTTTATTGAGAATTTTATTGAAATAGAAAAAATTACAAATTTTATTATAATGATTCGGATTTATAAATATAAATGTTTTTTTTTAAAGACTAGATAATATTATATTTAGCTGCATTAAATCGATAATTTATACTATTTATGTTCTTGGTTTCTAGCATTACTACATTGCAAAGTTATCTTGTTTTTTTTGTCATTTAAAGGTATTTTTTTTTTTGGATTTTTTCAAATTTTAATTGTTCTAAATTTTTAACCAATTAAAATTATTCTAATAATCTTTAAATATAGATAAATAAATTATTTCAGTAATCTAAATTAGGATAATCAATTTTTGTTATATGAAAATTGATTGTTCAATCGACATATCCTTTTTTTTTTGTTGTTTTTTTTTATTTTTTTTTTTTAGTATAGTATTTTTTTTCTTTAGCGTAGTATTTTTTAAGAAACTTTTTTTAGTATAGTTTTTTTGTTTCTTTTTTCTTGGGCTATACGTTATATGGTAGCTGTTGCCGTGAACAACAAGAGTTGTGTCTTGTTGGTATAATGTATAGTTAGAATTTAAAAGCTACGTCAATTTAAGACAGGGTAGAAAAAAGCACGGTTGGGTAAACTCACAAGCACTGAACTGTACGAATGCTACAAGATTTCATCTTCAATGTGAGTCCAACTGGTTTTTTTCCTAGTAAAGGTACTTGGGATATTGCACAAAATCCCTTGGGTTCAATTAATTTTGAACGTGCCCCCCAGAGATTGCAGAATTTAAATTTTTTTTTTTTTATTTTTTTTTTACTTTTTTTTATTTTTGCGGGAACTTTGTGTTACGTTTTCGATACTTTGGTCAAAGGAAACAAGGAAAACGATACTAAGTAAACTTGTTGGGCAAGTATCAAAGTACTTGAATCTCAATTTTTAGCTTTTTTCATTGAATATTCGTTGAGAAATAACGATTTTTCTAAATTTTGAGCAAAACGTTTTTTTTCTTCTTTCTCTTGCAGAAAATCGATTTCAGAAGGCATTTAGTAAGTTGAACCCTATGTTACGCTTCTAAGTAACTTTGTAGGTATGGTATTCAACTTTTTATATCCCAAATTTCATCTTGTTTTGTTGGGTATTCATGGAGATATTACAAAAATTCATAGGGAATCTATTGAAATTTTTTTTTAAAAAATCGCTTTTTTTCGAAATTTTACTAATACAATCAATTTTACACTCTTAACAAAAAATGTAGAACAGCTAAAAATAATTGTAGTTTAATAGAACCACTTTGTATATTTTTTTAATAAAATTTTTATTTATCATGATTTTTTTTTAAAATATTAATTAATAATTAAATCAAATAAATTATTTAAATATAAAAATAGATTTTTTTTTATAATTAACTATTATATAAAATATTTTATATATAAATATCATTTGTTTTATTATTTAAATTAAAAAAAAATGTCTGCTGAAAACTTTGAACGAAAAACTGAAAGTTCTCCTTAGAGAAAAATTCACCCAACCTTTAAGGTTATTAATAATTGGTTTGGAGGAAAACAAAAATCAGGTTTATATAAAAATAAAAATAAACTATTTAATCAGATACGATTTATACATATCAATAACAAAATTTTTCTTGAGGTTAAAACTCAAATAGAAAATATAACTTTTCTCTGTGATATTAAAAGTCATAAACAACTTCGACAACACATTTGGTATACTTATAAAAATGGAAATACATATTATATTGCTACAAAAATTAAAAAAGATAATAAATATATAACTTTACAATTTCATCGACTGCTTCATCCTGAGTGGAAGATGATCGATCATATTAATCGCTCAGGTTTAGACAATAGAGAATATAATATTAGAAAAACAACTACTAAAGAAAATGCTTTAAATTGTAAATTACGTAAAGATAATTTATCTGGATTTAATAGAGTTAGTTATGATAAAGTTGGTAAAAAATGGAGATTTAATTGGTATGAAAATAAAAAACGTAAATTTAAAAAATTTGAAATAACAAAAAATAGAACTTCTGAGCAAGCGAAACAACTAGCAATTAATTTCAAATTAGCTTATGACCAGATAACTGGAAATCGAAATGGATACTCTGTATAGATTTATATTCATTACTTTCAAAATATTTATTTTGAATGTTAGATATTTTTTATTTTTTTTTTTATAATTTATATTTTACGTTAAAAATATCTTTTTATATATTTTTTAAAAATTATTTTATTATAAATAAAATATTTTTAATTTTAAGTTAAAATACTTGAGCAAAATTGCTCAATCGAAAAAACAACCAAGTAAAATTGCTTAAAATTTATAAAAAATAAAATATATGTTTTAAAATAAAATAAATAATATATAAATAAAATTTAGAGTATTCTACATTAGGAAATTATTGATTAACCAAATTTAGCATATTAATTTATTCTACGTACATATAGATTAGATTAAATAGTATAATAAAAAAAATATACGTTTTATAATAAATAACATAAATAAAAATATAAATACAAGTAATCTCGACACAAGAATTTTATTTCATTTTATTTTTAAAAAAAAATAGGTAAATCAAATGACTTTCGACATAATGCTGCAACATCTTATAATTGTAAACAATATAGAGAAAAATTCAAGTGTAAAAAAACTAAAACAAAAAAAGGTAATATAATAAAATAAATTAAAAAAAAGATATTTAAGATTAATAGTTAATATATTATTAGATATAGCTGAGCATGAAAAGATTTACCAGACATCTGGTATTCCTATGTGTGATATTTGTAATGCTCAACATTGGCGTTGTAAAAATAAAAAATGTACAAATTGTTGTAATCTAAATAAATGTAATGATGTAATCTGTGATTACTGTAAAAATAATAATTTAATATGTGAAAGATCTCTTCCTACGAGTCAAGTAACATATGAAAAAATAAAAGAAAAAGTTTCATATATTTGTGGTCAATATGAGCCTACAGAAAATGGTAAGCTTCATGCACAAATATATATGCAATTTAATAAAAATCTACGTCAAACTTATAAAAGTGTAAAAGAACTATTTAATGATTATTCTATGTCATTTCCTAAAAAACTTGATGGAAATTCAGATCAAAATCGAGCATATTCTATGAAAGATTATGATCGTTGTAAAATACATTCTGATTGTAAATGTGATTTTTTTGATCTAAGTAAAATATGTGACAAATATACTTCAGATTGTGAACGTAAACTTGCAGCTTGGGGTAGAGGAAAAATACTAAAAGAAATAGTTGGACCATTTGAGTTTGGTACTTATCGTTTTATGGAAGGAGTTGAAAAGAATTCATCTGATGATATAAATGAATTACGATTAGAAGATATGAAAAGAGTTATAAAAATTCGTGATGAAGGATTTGAATATAAAGAAGTTATCATGAATAAAGAATTATTACCAGCATGTTGGATGTCTGCTCCTTCAAGAATGGAAAAAGTTGAAAATGATCGAAAAAAATTAATTCAACAAGAAAAAGAAAAACGATTTTGGCGTCCTATATGTATTTATGCATTTGGACCTGGAGGTAGTGGAAAGTCTGGTCTTTTTACAGAATTATTTAGAGATGAAATGTATGATGAGAAACCAAAAAAACAAAGAAATAACTGGTGGAATGGATATGATGAACAAGAAATAGTTCTTTTAGATGAATTTTATACTAAAATAGATTGGAATGATCTTGTAAATATATTAAATGATACACCATTTTGAGTTGAAGAAAAACATAAAGGATTTGTTCCTTTTATGGCTAAATATATAATTTTAATAGCTCGTAAACCACCAACTGAAGCCTATAATTTTGGACAACGAAATAATGATGATGATAGTATTCAACGTGATTGGGAACAATTTAGACGGAGACTTGATTTTATAATTGAATTTAAAGGAAAATGTGATGATGATATTGAGAAAAGGACAACAGAAATTATATTTCATCAGAGATCAGAAGAAGATTTTAGAAATATGAATTGGATGGTTAAATTAAGAAATGGAATTCATACAAATGAAGAAGTTATTGAAAAAAGTAAAAAGATAAATAATGATGGTGAACATATTGTGATAAATGATGAAGTTTATTATAAACAAAAATTTTCTGAATTCAAAAAACAATATCTTCAAGATTATCCAAAGAGTAGAAAATTATACAAGTATCAGTTAGAATGTGAAGAAATTATTGAAAATAGTTTAAAAAGAAATAATATAGAAGTTGAGTATGATTCTGATATTTATTCTGATGATTCTGAATATACTATACAAGAAAAAAGAAAGAAAAGAAAAATTGATAAATAAAATAGTAAATATTTTAGATTTTATATTTATAGTTTTAAATTTATATTTTATTTAAAAAAGATAACTTTTTTAATTACTAAATAAAGTTTAATATTTTTTATTAAAATAAAGATTTTGATACAATTAGTTATCATTAAAAATTTTAATAATATGCAACTCTCGCTACGTGCAAGCTTGTATTATGAGAGTCAAAAAAATATTTAATAAAACTTTCTATGAGAGAGATATACTTTCGTAGCTCCTAAGCTGTATGAAATTAATCCTCACTCTTAAAGAGATTCAGAATTAAATCCTATGCAAAGTAATACCTATAAAGTTTTTTATAGAATTTGTTTGATATTTAGATTCAGAACTTGAGCAATATCAACCAACTCAAGAATGAGTGATAACCCAGAGATCCCTTAGTTAACAGGTAACCAGGCTCGATATCTCAGGAGTCTATTCAGTTGTAGACTGAACATCTTATTTGAAATTCTTTTCTTTTGTTGTGGGCATCAGAAAATTTAATGACTTTCACTCAATCCGAAGAGAATTACTTGTCAAAATACTAACCCCATAAAAGAAACAGATTTTTCGTTTAACAGATTTCTGTTAAGGCCAAAATCTTTAAGACCTTCTAAAGCAAAGTTTTTTTTTGACCAATTCTGCTTCTATACTATATTCTCATTCACGATGATATCACCAAAGAAGATGCTTTAGCATAGTTTAGACTTAGGTTATTATGTACCTCACTGACAAAAATCAGCTTCTCTCCTAAGATTTGCTACAGCTTGGTTTAAACTTTGGAAATTACATATCATGTACGTGAACAAAAAAATGTGTAATCATCAAAGCAGAAAAAGATGAAAAAAAAATAAAAAATTAAAATATCGTTAAGTATATAGTATAAATTTTCATACATATAGCTGAGTCATATATGTAAATCATTTACAAATCTATATACAATGATCATTCTATCAATGAGTTTCTAAATTTAGATTGATTTACTAATAAGATTTTAATAGATTTAGTAAGATTGAATAAAAATACGTACAAATATTATTATTTAATTATTCTTTTTTTAGATTCATTAAAAATCAGATTTGATTTATAGATTATGCAATATTTTTTTAGTACATATTTTTATCGATAAACTTTTTATATAAAATACAAGTATGATAAGAAATAAAAAGTTAAAAATCAAATACAGAATAATCTGTGAGTAATTATTATTTTGTTATCTATCAATGAAAAATATTAAAGTATTTTTTTTTAGGCAATTGCAATAAATACGATTGTCCTGTTTGCTCTAGTTGGGGTCCAGTACCAACAGTATATAAAAAAGAATGGAACTTGGAATGTTTTTGGTGTAAGAAATATGTTAAACAATGTACTTGTGGTTTTAAAAGTTGGAATTGGGACAATATAATTTACTGTAAAATATGTAAGAAAAATAATCATGATACAAGAGATTGTCAATTTAAACAAAAAATTAGATATTGTAATATCTGTAATAAGTATAATCATTACTATTCTGATTGTTGGTATAACAAATATAATAATAATAAATAAAATATTTTATTTAAATTTTATTTAAATTTTAATTTATACATA